GACAACTCATCATACTGAGGAGAATAGTATGGCTAGCCCGATTCAAACGGTAATCGGTAAAGGCACATCAAACCCGTTGATAGCTGAGGATTTGCTAAAAATCCTAAGAGAAATCAAAGGCACTTGCTTCGCCAACAATTTCTTCATTCAAAGTATTCCAGACCACACGCAAGCCAGTTTAGGTCTGAAAACTTTGAAGGGGGTCTTGTAGACGGTAAAAAATACCTCTATGGGTCTACAGGAAATTTGCCTACGAGAAGAGTTCGCACGCCCAATTCTCTGGCACGGACCTAAACCGCGTAGACGTCGACTGTACTCAAGTCCAGGTTCGCCTAACGGTCGACTCGCCAGCATGAGTCAGGGTCAATCAAGATGGCGGAAATTCGCTCTTCGCTCAACTCGCCTGCCCGAGTTCGGAGTCGAATCCGCCAGCAAGCCCCAAAACCGTCAGTACAGCTGGGTATCCACTACCCCACGTGCTGAGATGGACCTTCCCATCTCTCTCGACCCGAAGGGAGAGAGAGCACAGTACCCCAGGACCGTCAAACGGCCGCCCACAGTGCACACAGCGCGAAGGACTGGACAGGCGTCGAGTCAACCTGAGCATTCATAAATGCGACTCACCTCGGCTGTCTGAGCCAAGAGCTGGATCCGCCGGCACTCGGCAAGCTGGCTAGACCCACTCGAGTACTGTACACCTACTTCACCGCCTCTCCTGACCGGAAAGGAGAAAGCATCGTGCTCAAAGCACGCCGGGCGGTCACGCACAGTACAAGTGATCGGACAGACACTTCATCGATCTGCGAACTCATAAATGCGGTTCATTAATGCTGGTCAAATCCACTCGGATAGCAGTCGTTTGTTGCCTCACATACAAGAATGGGCCTTCCCATCGTAGGTGACAGGACATAGAGCACAATCCCTGGAATGACCGTTCATGGTATCGAGGAACGGCGAGACGTCTCTGAAGAGGATGTGGTCACATCCCACAATTCAAGGAGAAGTCAAGCTGTCCTTCTTTCATTTAAATCCCTGGAATGACCATTCATGGTATCAAAGAACGGCGAAACGTCTCTGAAGAGGATGTGGTCACATCCCACAATTCAAGGAGAAGTCAAGCTGTCCTTCTTTCATTTAAAAGCCCCTTCCAGCACGATGGAGAAGAGGTCGCAAAACTTGAAAAAAAAAAGAGTTGAGACCAAGCTGTTAGCACATCCTTGCATTACAGCGCCGCTGCCTAGTTCCGAGCTCCGATCGCCGACGAACTAAGCAGACCCGAACCCTGAGCTTCTACTGCGAACTGAAGCTCTCCAGCAACCTCATTCAAACGGTCCAAGGGAAGCAGACTCGACCCGAGCATCGAGCGAAGCGTCCTATAGCCACCTAAAGTCTCCACACAAAACAAAGAGGGCCTTCCCTCTGCTTCTGTTGTAAACATTTGATTTGTTAGTTTATAATAAGCTTTCTTATAAATACAAACGAAACTCCTTCCTTCGGAAGAATCAAATTTTCACCCTACAGTAATAAATTATTTAACAAAATAAATTAAGTTGTTCATTTTATATGTCTCACTTTTATGAAGCATATAGTTTGGATACGAGTGTTGTTAGATTCTTTTAACCCTTTAACCTAATTTTTTGGATATTAATCAATATTGGATAGATCTAAATTATTTTGTTAAAATACAATCCATATGTGTAAAAAATATGTTTAAATCATTCTCAGATTATATTTTATAGATTTCTAAAATTAGAGAGTAATCATTTTGACAAATTAATTAATTAGTTGAGAAGATATAGGAAGACTATAATATCAAGTTTTGAAATTGATCACATAATTTATATTTTTTTTCTTGATTGAATTTGCTCATTCTAACTTTAAAAGTTCTAGAAAAAGTTTTTGAATATCTATAATACTCGGTCGCCAGATAATAGAAAGTGGAAGAAGACAATAGGTGCAAGTGATTTCTTTATAATTAAACAAAATCATCCATGACCAGATAAACCTACCATTTTACGTTGATGAATTCAAGATTTATTTTTTCATCAATAATAATAGTTTTTTAGATATTGGTGCTTACATCTTTAATATATTAAAATTAGAATTTCAAACCATTAAATTGCTCTTAGATCATTAATATTTTAAGACTTTAAACCTCAATTATAATATTTGACCACGTCCATTGCACGTGCATTCCACCTAGTATGTATGTGTGTGTGTGTATATATATATATATATATATATATATATATATTAAATACAATTTGT